TGAAATTCCCCAAAAGACATGCTTTATGGGGCTCTCTAGGAGTCTATTGGTTCTGTCCCCCTAGACAGAGGTGGTACCAAGTCTATAGGGAAGGATTAGTGTCTGGAGAGAAAAAGCTGACGAAATATTACATGATCTTGCATCTTCCAAGTTCTAGGTTAAAACTTATAAATAATATATCTATTTTTATATTACATCCCCCCCCCTTTAAAAAAATCTACTGAATCCGTTTAAAATTAAGTATTCCCTATTCGCTAGCTCTTCCGTTCACAAAATAACAATCATAACTTTCTCTAGTGTCTAGATTAGCATAAAATGTTACAATACACAGATTATATACACTATATAATAAAATACAACAATTTTTCAAAAGTACATATCGTATAAAATTATACATTTTTTCCAAGAGCATTTATGATACATAACAATACAACATTTTTTCAATTATGCGCATTAATCAATACAACATTGTCCGATACGCTATCATCATATTTCAAAAAATACTATATACAACTTATTCATGCTTTAACTTTAAATTTTCAGGTGCATGATACCTTTGTAATTTTGAAACATGCACTTTTTCTGACTTCTTTTTCGTATGAGCATTTGTTTTATTTATTTCGTAATTGACGTCCTAAATTTTTCTGAGAATTTTATATGGGCCACTAAATGTTGGAGAAAGTTTCCTAGTATTTGGATATTTAAAAAATGTGAAAAAAATCATTTACCTACTTAAGTGATATTTCCATTTCATTATTCAATGCACTTTCATAAATGTCGATGAAACTACATGATATTTATATTTCTTTGGCCATTTTTTGGGGATGAAAATGTGAATATAATTGTTTTAGACATTAATAACACAATATTGTACAATACGAGTAAATAAATTGAAAGTTTTTGAAATGCATCACATTTTGTTGAAACATTATATTTCAGCTTCAAAGTTTAGGATGTGAAAAAATTATACCCTCAAAGAAAAATTCTTACATAACATATTTACAATGCTGTGAATACCATTTTAAGTTTTGAGATCACTAATTGTATTTTTAAAAATTTTCATTTTTTTTCTTGCCCATGTTGCATGCCAAGAAATTAGTGCATACAATTTCTTTTTTATATTTCACAATAAAGTACAAATTGAACTAAGTAAATACACCAAAACTTGCCCTTAATTGCAGTGAATTCTCATGCAGATTTTTTTTTCTTGGTTAATTTGGTACCGTTATACAATTGGACTTTGATTTAAAGAATTCATCGAGACTAGACATTTTATTCGTTAGTTCGGGATTATTCATAATGGGGTACAAAAAATACGAATTTTTTTGCATTTACCTTTTGGAAATTCTATAATAAGCAATTACATAAACAATAATGACTGTTAGAAATTATACACGCTTTTTATTCAACGCCTAAAAATACTATTACCAAATTATTACGCACCAGTTAACTAGAAATTTTAAAATACTAACTAATAAACGTCTTACAATCTTTGATTCCAGACTTGAAAAGCTCTTTTTCGTTTTTATGCAGAAAAGAAAATATTACGTCATCTACCTCCTGCTTTATGAGGTAAAGTTAGTTTTAGTTTCCAATGTAAAGCATTAAAAAATGTAACTGTTTTGATAGAAATTTCAGAAAAGAATTTTTTATCCTATTCAAAACTCAAGTGATAAGTTACACCCATAACTCAACAGCACCTGTAAGGTCTAATAAAGGGCTGCACCCTTTACCATCGAAGAAAATTCATTTTTCTGTTCCAGACAAGAAAGATGGATCATTTGAAAAGGAATCCAGTTTTTTCTAATCCGAATTAATAAAAAAATCGTTAATTAGGGGTTTATTATTCGTTAAATAGACGTTTTTCGCCTTCGTTTTAATCGAGGAGAAAGAAAAATTCGTTAAGTCGAGAAATTCGTTAAATGGGGAATTCTTTAAACGTTATTTAAGAATTTTAAACTGGTTTAAGGACCTTTTTTTTCAATTCCTACTAATAGCTCACACTCTATTTATTTATTTATCTTGGTGGAATTTTCAATCGTTAATAAAATACATTTTAAAGCGCTCAATTAAGCTGAAATTTTATATACATGATTATTTTGAATGACAATACAGTAAATTAACTAAAATTAATAAAAATTAATTGATTAAAACTAATTATTCAAAGGATTACAAATTCAGCCACGTTGGCATCATTTTTGGCGACTTAGCGACCCTTTTGTTGACTAGTATCGAAACATTAAAATATTTTTTTTCTCACGCTTTAAAGCATTCAGTTGAACTGAAATTTATATACTCGATTGTTTTGGATAAAAATACGATATTTTAATGATAATGAATAAAAATCAATTAAAACTTAATGTTGTGATTCTATCATATGTATATACATATGTATATTAATTGTAACTATTTAATAAAAAGTAGCTAAAACAAAATTTTTCTTTGTTGATTTAAGTAGGAATTGACTTAAAAATTTTTTTATATTACTTGTTTAATAACCAGAATCACTTTGACTTATCTACGAGTATATGTAGGAAACCGATGGAAATTAATTTTCATTAAATACATTTTTCCACTTCATGTACGTATTACTTAATAAAAATGCAATGAATATATGGCTATTTCGTTCAAAAATGTTAAATAAAATTCTAACAATTTAAACCTTTAAGTAAAAAAAATAAATTTTTTTTAAATTTAATTTTTTAAAAAAAATTTCTGTTCATTTTTAGACTACAAAATAATCCTTTAAAATAATTAAATAAATAAAAATTTATTACTTATAATGTTTTTAACATTTGACTCACTTTAAACGAATAAATTATAAAATACCTTCTTAGTACATGCCTCAAATTATTCCAAAGTCGCCAACTTTTAAAACGAAAACTTCGTTACGATTATTATCATATAGAAATGGAATGTAAGTAATCCTCGATTTACACAGAAAAACTTCTAGAAATATTTTTTTTTGTGTTCCGGTCTTTTCATTTTTTTTTATTCTATTTATTTACAATTATTCAACATTTATTAGAAAAATGACATAATGATTATAAAGTTAACTTCTATGCGAAGGTTGTATCATATGAAATAGTTCCCTTTTCAATTCCTACTATTAGCTCGCACTGTCTATATATTTATTTATTTATATATTTGTATATTTATATTAATTTAATCTTGGTGGAATTTTCAATCGTTAATAAAATACATTTTAAAGCGCTGAATTGAGCTTAAATTTTATATACAGAATCATTTTGGATGACAATACAATAATTTAATCATAGTCAATAAAAATTAATTGATTAAAACTAATTATTTAAAGAATTACAAATACAGCCAAGTTGGCGACTTGTCTCAAAACTTGAAAAGGTTTTTTTCTCACGTGTTAAAGCATTCAGTTGGACTGAAATTAAAAGGACAATACGATACTTTAATGATAATTAAAAAAACTAATTACCTCTTAATGCTGTGATTCTGTCCTATGTATATACATATTAATATTAATTGTAACTATTTAATAAAAAGTAGCTAAAATAAAATTTTTCATTGTTGATCTAAGTAGGAATTAACTTAAAAACTATTTTTTATATTACTTGTTTTTATTTGATAAAAGTGAAAAGAAACATTTTTTCTTTTGTTATTATTTTTATTGCATTATTTTCATTAATTACTTAATTTCATTATTTTCATTAATTAATTACTTAATTATACTTTTATAATAAAGGGCCTGTTTTATATAATAAACATTGATATAATAACTTTCTCCAACTGTTTTGAGACATACTTTAAAGCACATTATACAAAAACAAAAACTTTACGAATAATATTCCAATACGTTTCCAAATATATATAATCCCAGCTCTTCTATTTAAATTCTGCATTTTTCCCTTTCAATATGAACTTTTCTTAGATTGCTTATGTAACACACATTTCATTATTATAAGCATTAAACATACATAAATATTCAATACAGAATTTTTTTTATCCTGGATACAATAGTTACCAACTTAAAGATTATTATTTTTCTATCTGAAATGAAAATGATCCTTTTGAAGTTCAATTAAAAACAAAACAAAAGTGGTGATATTTACTACTAGAGAAAATACATTTATTAATATTTAGTTGCCATATACAAATGCAATAAGGGAAAGACAAAATGCTTCTGATTGGAAACTATGTTAATGTATCATTTATTGCATAATTTAAAAAATATCCTTTTAAGTTAAATAAATGTTCTATCTTTTATTTTCTTTATGCATCGTATTTGATCAAATATAAATACTAATATTCTTAAAATTTCTCGAAAAGATTTTTTTATTTCAGGTAACTTTGCCCTTTAATTTCTTGATGATTCATCAAAATAGCGCCATAAAAGTAAAACACTACAAAATTAACCGAACATATCAATTTCATATAAAAATGCTATCTCAACAAGTATTATTAAAAAAGATTAAGTTAATTCCTACTTAGGTCAAGTTACAGCGGTAACCTAGTGATCAAGGTATCAGATCGTGGCTGACTTGTAATATTAAAGACCCGCCATGTAGGGGAGCGATGCACGTTAAATCTGTCGAAAGCTCAAACGTCCTCCCATTGGTGTGGTGTTGTGTGGTGTGGTAGTTAGGAGAGAAAGTGCCAGCTCAGGTGTCATCCACGTCACTTGTCTATGGTTCAAAACTACGTGGTCCGTCGCCAAAAGCCCTCATGTAGCCGAACAGTGCGACGTTAATATTTACTCACTCACCCTACTTAGGTCAACAAAGAAAAATATTATTTTAGTTACCTTTTACAATTACAGTTACTTAATTACAATTAATATAAATATGTATATACATATGGCAGAATCACAATGTTAAGAGTCAAAATAGAAACCGATTTTGCATTTTTCCTTTCTATATATGGTGTTGGACTATTATTTTTGTTTGTTACCATTTATCCATTAATTAAATTTAATTATTCCAGTAAAATAGTAAAATAAAAAGAAATCACATTTTTAGAAATTAGACCCTCCCAGGTGGGATTCTAACCCACGACCTTTGGATTAGAAGTCCTACGGGCTATCTATTGTCTTACAGGGACAAATCGAACGATTTTCCTTTCTGTATATGCTGTTGGACTATTATTTATGTTTGTTATTATTCATTCTTTTTTATTTAATTAATGAATTAATATTTGAAAAAACTGTATGAACATCAAGTGTCATCCACTATAAGTGTAAAAAAATATATTTGAACCTGAATAGATGAATAAAAAGTATTTTATTAACGATTGAAAATTTCAACAAGATATATATATATATATATAACACCCCACTTTTATATAAATTATTTTATTTATAAGCTGTCTGAGTCAGCTATGTTTATAGTACTGCAGCATCCATTTTTTAAATTTCAATTACTCATATATCCTTCAATGTATGGTTTTCATACTATCTCTGTATTTTCCGGTTTTGATTTATAAATGTTCATATATATATAGTATAATAAAATAAGAAATCGGGAAAAAGTTGTAAAACCTACAAAGCCTAAGAAGAAAGAAATTGGAGTTCAAGAAACACAACAAATGTTGATACAAAAAGAATCTTTGGACTAAACTGGAGATCTATTAGGATTCCTAGAGCTGTCATTGAATAAGACCAGAGATTTAGGGTTACGCAATGCTTTATGGATCTACCTTCCCCGTACAGCAGAAATTTTCGACATAATAGAGAAAAAAAGAGCCTTGTTGAATATATAGTTAAGCCTATTCTTAACTACGTGGATGATAAACCAGACAATATAAAGTATAATGAAATTAACAAAATAGAACAATAATGTTCCTCAGGGAGAGGAATAAGAAAAAATTCTATTGAAAAAATTAGGATACATAAACATACACGGAATAATAAGAGAGAGAGAAAGAGGCGAGTGAACCAACAGTAGGAATTGAAGAAAGTAGCCTTCGCAAAGTGAACTAGAATTCTTAAAATGAGGAAAAATCTACTGCTTGTCTGTCAATGATATACTTCAAAGGTACATGAAATATATCAGGGATGTACCTCATAATTCGGAACCTCGGTCAAATGACGAGGGTGAAACCTGAACTGGCAATACCGTACTCCAAATTCCCACACCACGGTAATATAAGAGCTTTGAGCCTCCATAAATTTAATGTGCATCAGCTTCTCTACTTGGAAGTCTTCAGTGACGTTAAGAGAAAAGAGTCAGATTAACATAACACAATAAAGCTGCACGAGGGATATTGGCGACGGTCCCTGTAATTTTGAGCCATGTTCAAGAGACGAGGACGACACCTGAGATGACACATCCCCCTTCTCCTACCTTCCACACCGCACCAACCGGATGACATTTGAGCTTCAACATATTTAACATGAATTAACTTCCTCTGCCCGGCGGGTTTTCAGCAGTACTAGGCTCGAACTTATGACACGCCAGCCACTAGTTTACCTTGATCACTAGTCTACCGCGGCCACTTAGTGGAGCTAAGTTTCGAACACATGATTCAACAGCTCCGGCCACGAGTTCGAGATTAAGAGTATGAGTTTTTAATCCGTTATATAGAAAAGAGCCTTTTTAAAATCACAATAATTAATCTCGTCTTTTTTTCTTTTTTTTTTGTAAAAAGTTTTTTTAGTCGATCTTTTTTTCTGGGATATTAATAACAACAAAAAACTCAATTGATTTAAAATTAAGACAATGCGTAATTATTTTCATGTTGTATTTTTACTATTTGATATATTGTATTTATTCGAATCAAAGCACCTCAAATTTTACACACATTTTGGTGAAAAAATAAAAAATGGTTTATCGATATCCGAATTTTACGAAATTAAAAAATTTAGAATGCGAATTAATAAGAATCGAATAATCGATTTATATTAAAAGCTTTTTATGTTTAAAACAGCCATCGATTCTAAGCCAAACCCGATTTTCAGTAGCAATAACAATGGAAAAAAAGTGCTGTTTAGATTCGAATAAATACGGTATTTCTTTCATTAACTAATACAATTTGAATTAAAACTAGAGGAATAAAAAAATGAATCTATTGAAAACATTGTCAAGAAAACAATTCAAAATTCTTTATTTCGTAAAACCTAAAGCAGATATCCGAACAGTTTATTTATTTAAAAGGTACTTGACAAGTTATTTTCGGTAGCAAATGCGCCAAAGCGAATTTTTCAAGAGAGCTGAAAAACTCAATGATGCATTGGATCATTCAACATACACCAAAGTCAAGAAAATAAAACAGAGTAAGTAAGCATTTGATGACGGAACTCAGTAAGTTAGAAGATGAAGAGCTTTCCTCTTCTACCGTCCTTTCAAGTTCTGCTGTGTAAAATTTAACTCAGATTATGAAGTTAAATTAGCTAGATAAGTTTTGTTCGATTCCTTATATTACTAAGAAGACTCGGTACCTCCACAATGACCAGAGTATCGTTTTTTCAATTCCTACTAGTAGCTCTCTACATATTTATTTATTTATCTTGGTGGAATTTTCATTTGTTAATAAAATACATTTTAAAGCGCTCAATTGAGCTGAAATTTTATATACATGATTATTTTTGATGACAATACAGGAATTTAATCATAATGAATAAAAATTAATTGATTAAAACTAATTATATAAAGAATTACAAATACAGCCATGTTTGCATCATTTTTGGCGATTTAGCGACCCTTTTGGCGACTTGTGTCAAAACTTGAGAAGGTTTTTTTCTCACTCTTTAAAGCATTCAGTTGAGCTGAAATTTTGTATACACGATTGTTTTGGATGACAATACGAAACTTTAACGATAATTAATAAAAATTAATTACCACTTATAATATTGTGATTCGGTCATATGTATGTACATATTTATATTAATAGTAACTATTTAGTAAAAAGTAACTAAAATAAAAATTTTCTTTGTTGATCTAAGTAGGAATTGACTTTAAAAAATTTTTTCTTTGTTTTTATTTTTATTTATTCATATTCTTTGCATTATTATCTTTCGATTTATATATTATTTGTGTATGTCGGAAAATTAGAAGTTGGAAAAAACTTCAATTGAGAAATGTAAACAAGTAAATTAGACAATTCGATCGTGCCCTCCTTTTCAGATAAAATAGCTAAAAAGCTTTTTGTTTAAAAAAATCTATTTTAATAAGAGTAATAATAATTACAAAAAAGGAAGGTGTTATATATATAAAGCAGGATATTTCTGAGGCATTACAATAATGTTTTTTTTTTTTCTTTGTGAAATGTGTGCATGTAAAATTTTTGAATTAAGGTATTTTATATTAATAATTTCAGTTCTTATTCCATATGTTATTTTCATACAAATATAATAATTTAATATTATGTGAAGAAAAAAACTAAAATTTTGGTCATGACAGAAAAAAAAAGTTTTTTTAACATTTTTCTTGAATTTTCTTGCGCAATTAATACTCTCTAAAAATAGATAAAAAGTATAGGTTCAAATAACATAAAAATTATATTATTTTAAAGAAAAATGTGTAGCTAATATTCTAAAGTAGTATTTTAACTCTATTTAAGCTTATTATAATTATTTTTTCAGAATTATAAACTTTAAAGTGGTTTTTCTCAGTTTGTGTTTTTTGATACATTATTAGTGCATTCAAAATGCTTCTCTTTCCTCAATTATTAACCAATAATTTCCATTTTTTCTGTGTGTTATGTATAATGCATTGTAACAAAATTAGGGATCCATTTTGCTGTAAACTGGATACTTTTTTTAAAAAAATTAAAATGTGGGAGATTTGGCTTTTTCATTATATTTTAGCATGCGCATATCAACATTTTACTTTGTTTCTTCAAAATTAATTAAGTTACTGTAAAATATATCCCTAAAGTTGTTTAAAACATTCTTAAGAATATTACAAAAAAATCAGGTCAAAAAATTTATAATTACAAAAGAAGTAAAATTTTAAAATTTACCAAATTTTCTTTAAAAAAATTAAATTTTTGAAATTGTATGAATAATAAGTGGAAAATTTCATCTCGTATTCAAACATTTATGAAACGATAAAAAATAATTTTTAAATACATAAATAAAAAAACTTTGTTTTAAGAGTACCAACTCCCCTTAACTATTCAAAAGAAAAAAATATTAGCTTTGTTAATGTGTATCAGACTAAACACACAGACGCATCTTTCTTTCGATAATTTAGTTCTTTTTCGATGTTGATTGCTTAAGTTTTCTATATTGTAGAGGACTACTAATAATTCTCTTGATCTTCCAATGATAAAGATAAGTACATTCAAATATTTTCTGTATATTATATTACAGAAAAACAATCAAAGTTTCCAGATAATAACTGTTAATTATATTAATTACTTAATCATTTAATCATAACCTAATGAAAAGGGTAACATATAGTCTATTACCTTTAGTTTCAGATTAAGTTATACTTTATGTAAAGTACATGTTGATTATATGCTTCTGAGAAAAAATTCTGCTTATGAGACATAGAACAATTCTCATGGATATGAACATCATTTGCAATGCTCTATGATAATCTAGTCTAAAATCATAATAAATATATGGTTGGAGTCAGGACGAAAAAGCTTAATACCCTTTCCGAGCTCTTACGTCACATTATATCTCACTTCGCTTTCTCATAAAGAGTTCACAATTCAGCTATAAATAACGCTTTTTAGCTATTACATGAAGAAACGCTAATGAAAAGATTATCTGATGTTATCATTACGGATTAAATACAAGATTTCCCTTATTTCTTTGGGAGTATTTCCAATTCTAATGCTAAAACAGAATCTGTTACGTGAAATAAATATTATTAAACTTAGCTTTAATATCTCTTGTCCTTGGTGTAGAATTTTAGATGGCCAGCAGTATACTTAAAATGTGGAAAAAATCGTGCATTCCTTTTTTGCACTGATGAAGTAAAAATATTGCAAAAGTCAATTAATTTTTTAAATTACATTTTTCTTTTTCAGGGGACTCATTAAACACTTTGTGTGGTTTCTCTTAGATTTCTGTTTAATGTTACAATATTCTCTTATCATTGTATAAGTAATTTTGATATGGGCATCTTGGAATAACAATTAATATGGTAATA